CAAATAAAATTTATTCCCATGAAATGTCGTTCGAGATTTTTCCGCAAGGTAACAAACTCATACAGAATATTGCAACAATTCACCAGCAAATATTTAGGGAATAATTTAAACTTGTTTCTAAATCCTAAATGAAGTAAATAGAGGGCCACTATGCTTTAATGCGAGTCAAATATTTACGCGACATGTTTTTAAGGTAACGCGAGATCCAAATTTAACGCGCAAAGGGTATCGGTCTTGTTTAATAAGATACTCATGTCAAAGTTTTAAAACAAATTTTGGTTGAATCAATTTTGTCAAGACCATTTGAAGGTTTAAAGCATTTACGAATTTCGGCTTTATTGTTTAAATTGATATAAATTTGAATCTTCATATCTTCATTAAAGGTATCATCATATTAATAAACAGCGCTAGATGGATCCCTTTAAGATATTTTGTTAACAGTATAACTTTTACTTTTAACAAAACTTGTTGGGATTTCTTTAATACTGACGGTATCATTAACTGCGGCATTGACGATCAATTTCTTTTTGGATTGTTTGTAATCAATCAAAATCATCCGACATTCAGTTAGAAAATTGAGCGCTTTCTTTCTTCCCTCTTCCCCTACCATTTTATATATATATATATATTTTATAAAGATGACAATATTTCCAACAGATATTCTTGAAGAGATCTTTGAAAATCTTGAATCTTCAATTTCTACATTACATTCTTGTCTTTTGCTTTCACGAGTATGTTGTAAGGCGATAGTCCCAATCCTATATCGTCAACCATTTCGTTATACCCGACAAAATCCTTCACCGAAATTAATTGATACTTATTTGTATAATATAACGTCAAAAGATATATCACGTATCCTTAAGGTGGACCTAGATTTTTTATTAGAACGGTTCAACATCGAATTATCGGATTCATCAAGAAGAGATTCTATTTTCAATTATCATTCATATTTAAAAAGGTTAAATTATCGGGACTTGTATGATTTTGGTTTGATTTGGTATAGAAATATTCAAAAACAAAATGATGTTAAAATTAATGATAATGAAAGGTATAAATTTCTTAATCCAACGGAAAATGAACCTTACAGTCAAGAACCCATGAAAACTTTATCAAGAATTTTATTAAACTTTTTCATGATCAAAGGTGCTAAATTAGATTACCTTTTTATGGATTCCGGAAAGGAATTAATCGGTCATTATAATATTGATGATGATTATGATGAAGTTGAAAATTATGTGGAAGAGATTGATGATGATGACAGATACCTTCAACCTCCTACCGTTTCATTTCCCGTATTAGATAATTCAATTGAAATCGTTGTTACAACTAAAAGTCTTCGAGAAGAAGGGGGAGTTGATGATGATCAAGATGTTAACGTTGTTAACCCTATATTGAGAAATTGTTTGGAGAATTTAAAAATTTTTGGATTTTATGGTAAAGGAAAATTTCAGGGGCAAACTCTTGATAACATTTCGTCAATCTGTCAAGGTCTTCAAACATTGATAATAAACTTGACAGTGAATGATGAATGGAATACGGCAAGGGCTAAAAAGGAGATAACAAGTTTAAATGATTTAATTAATAATCAAAAGGCTTTGAAAGATTTTATTTATGTTGAATATCAAGGAAAATTTTGGTGGAGTCCCTCTTCAAGGTTAAGAGATATTGAGATCGATTTTTCTCATCATGTGCATAATTTGTTGGTCGTGGAATTTTATGATGTGTACTTTCAATTATGGAAACCTTTACACGTACTTGCCTCATTAACAAATTTACAGGAATTGGCATTTGTAAGTTGTAAGCATCAAGAGAGTGTCATGGAACCATTAAAATATTCCTCTTTTAAAAAACTTCAAAAATTATCAATTATTGGTTGGGATGAGATCACCCTAATTGATCCAAAAGTTGTAGAAGTTCTGATCGAAAATGCTAGTGATACGTTAAGATCTTTATCAATTGTGTTGACGCATGAAGTCTCTACGACTGTATTGGAGTCGATCAATAAATTTCAACCGAATTTGGTAGAATTGGCAATAAAATTTGATCAAACGCATCTTTCCACTTTACAACAACTTCCATTTTATGGTTTTGAAAATTTAGAAAAATTAACTTTAAATAATTGGGGTCATGTTGCTATAGACGTTGATTTAATCTTACCTTTATTAGGAAAATCTTTACCACCAAATTTAAAAAAATTACAAATTTTAGCACGTTGGACATTTTCAACAAAAGGTCTTAAAAATTTTCTGAATAATTGCGAGGCAAAGTTAAAATATATTGACATACGACATTGTACAGGTATAACTGAAGAACATATTGATCTTATTTGGATGAAATTTAGCGATAGTTTAGAAAGGTTGATTATTAGGGAGATTGAGGGAAATGATGATGTGCCTTACGGCCAAATCCTTGAAGCGAATTTCACCGCGAGTGAAGATCATCATTCGACACATAGTGGTAGCATTGAAGCAAATCTTTTCGAGAGTGAAGAAGGTAATCCTGCGAATGATAGGAAACCTGTTTACGTTAAAAGAATTGAGATTGATCCTTCTGAAGATGAAGCTTATTCTTATGTTAGAACCGACAAACTTAGATACAGATGGGAATAAATTATGTGGAGAATTTATTGTCTTCATAGTTTTTTTTAAAAAAGAAATGATATTCAAACTACCAACAATTTAAATAAAATAAAATAACAACAACTTCATAATTAAACTAATAGAGGTGAATCAATAACAGCAAACCCAGTTGCTACACCACCTTCATTAGTTTCTCTTCCTTTAGTTCTCAATAGATGACCTCCAATCTCATTAACAATAACATCATCATTTCCAATAAATACGCCATAAATTCCTAATTCAGAGATCATTTCACCTTTAACTAATTCACCTTGCCTTAGAATAATATTTCTCATCGAAGGTGGTTGTATTAAATCCATTAAAATATACGATGATCTTTCTGATGTAGAAATTTCTAATAATTTAGGTGGGATATCCTTTGTATATATATTATTCCCTAAAAATAAATTAATAAATTTTTTTTTAAAAAAAAAATGGTTTGTAAAATGAAGAGCAGCATATTTACTGTAATTACCTCCGCCTTCTCGTTGTGGTTTCATCACAAACCGTTCGGGATTTTCTAAGGCAAGCTTTACAGCTGCCTCACCTTCAGATGAAGAATCTAATGGATATAAACCTGCAAAGCTTGCTCTAAGCTTCTTTGCATCTGTTGCATTGGTCACATACCTAGATAATATATATAAAAGAAAATTAATTTGAAAGGAATAACATAAATAAAAAGTATTCAGGTTGTATTTACTTTTCTAAAACTCCAGGCATGGCCAAAACCTGTTGAACTTTTTTAGTACCAACAAGCTGGTATGCAACTGTTGGACATTTAATAGATTTCGAACGTTCAATCAATAATCTAGCATCCCATTCCTATTTAATTATTAAATTCAGTTAATTGATTATAAATGTAAATTGGACTGTTATGGGGAAAAATACAAACTTTCTTTGTAGGATGTAGTTCGGGCGCATATCCTGAACGAAAATATGTAACTGAAATTTCTTTATCATCTCTAACAAATGTATATAAGATTTAAAACCTTTTTTCTTTTTAAATAAAAAAAATGAAATGAAAAATTTCGACTTACATTATTAATGCATGAGTTTCGGGATCTAATTTTCCTTGTTGATCTATTTCTGCGAGTGTTTTACGTATAATATGTATTTTATGACTGTAATAAAGAAAAGAGACGATAAATCGTTAAACAACGGTCTAGCATTTAAGGAATTTTGTTTAATTTTTTTATTTACTTGTTTAATAAATTATATTCAATCCATCTTTGATCAAAAGCATTCCTTTCTTCACCAATCACAACCATCATGACCACGGCGCTAAAAAATAAAAAAAAGGTTCTATGAGAGTTTACCATTATTTTTTATTGATATTTTTTTTTAAAAGAAAAAATATTACTTTGGAGATCCATAAAGCTCATGAGCTTTTGCAATACCTTTGGGGAAGCTTGTCATTGCATCATTTAATGGTAACGAATCAATCTTTAATAATTCTGAAGAATTAAAATATTTGGTGGATTCCAATAAATATCTAAGAAATGACAAGACAATTAAGATTTCTAAATTAAAGGGAGAAAGATTTAACAACACAAGTTTATATACCTGTGTAATTCTCCAGTTAGAAATGATAAGCTAGAGAAAGAGGAAGAAATGGTATTAAATTCAACTTGCAAAACGTTAGCTTCTGATGCATCTTGTGGAACATGTAAAAGATAATCGGATCTATGTAATCCTAGAGAAATTGGCTAGATGCATCAAAAAGATTAGTTTTTATTTATTGAGAAAATGAAATTAAATATTAAACAACCTGTTTTACCTGAGCAATTCCTTCTTCTTTTATTTTTAGATAAATTTTATAAAGTTCATCAATAAAATCATCGACTTTAGTTACCCTAAATCAATTATTTGTTTTTAAAACGATTAAATTAATTTTAAATTTGAGCATATGTTTAATTATTTTACACTTACTCCTCAATAACTTGAGTAATAAATTCATGATTTCGAGACAATTTATGGAATAAAAGATTAAATACGGGTTGTAATTCTATAGCTTGGTAAAAAGTTTTTTTTGGAAAAGGTGAGGGAAATAAAGATATAGGTGCATGCATAACCGAAGAGTTATTAGAAAGTGCAAGGTTAGTTGGTGGACGTATTACTAAACCATGAGAAAGTGACCAATCTATTGCTAATTCTTGTAAAGATTGTAAATTGTCATTAGAAAGGTTTGGAGGATATTCGGGAAAGAATGACATTATTGTCGATTTTATTTATTTTTATTTATTATTTCGAGAAATTTAAATTATCGGGGGGAGGGATTATTTATTTACTTTATATGTATTTATTTATAATGACGTCACATGATAACATCCCTAAACTATCAATCATTTTGGTAAAAGTTAATGTAGATCATGACAAATCAAAATGTCTACAGAAATGACTAATCAAGTCTAAAAAATTTTCCCCGTCCTTTAACAATGAATCATCTCGAATATTTTTATTACGGAACCATTCATCCGGAAGAATGGGTTAAGCAAGTGCGATTGGCCTTTTATGATTATAATAAAAATGAACAAGAAATTGTTAATTATTGTAAATTACTCATTCCTTCTTATATCAAAATTCCTCCCGAGACCGAATCCTTTGTTGCGTTAATCAATGCCTTAAAATCAGATATTTCTTATGAAACCTTTAAAAGTTCAGTTAAAAGGAATTTAAAAGCATTAAAAGTTAGTCTTGATAATGAAAAAGATATTTTAACATTCTTGAATCAATTTCAACGGCACTGTTATGAAGGAGATTGAGGGAAATGATGATGTGCCTTACGGCCAAATCCTTGAAGCGAATTTCACCGCGAGTGAAGATCATCATTCGACACATAGTGGTAGCATTGAAGCAAATCTTTTCGAGAGTGAAGAAGGTAATCCTGCGAATGATAGGAAACCTGTTTACGTTAAAAGAATTGAGATTGATCCTTCTGAAGATGAAGCTTATTCTTATGTTAGAACCGACAAACTTAGATACAGATGGGAATAAATTATGTGGAGAATTTATTGTCTTCATAGTTTTTTTTAAAAAAGAAATGATATTCAAACTACCAACAATTTAAATAAAATAAAATAACAACAACTTCATAATTAAACTAATAGAGGTGAATCAATAACAGCAAACCCAGTTGCTACACCACCTTCATTAGTTTCTCTTCCTTTAGTTCTCAATAGATGACCTCCAATCTCATTAACAATAACATCATCATTTCCAATAAATACGCCATAAATTCCTAATTCAGAGATCATTTCACCTTTAACTAATTCACCTTGCCTTAGAATAATATTTCTCATCGAAGGTGGTTGTATTAAATCCATTAAAATATACGATGATCTTTCTGATGTAGAAATTTCTAATAATTTAGGTGGGATATCCTTTGTATATATATTATTCCCTAAAAATAAATTAATAAATTTTTTTTTAAAAAAAAAATGGTTTGTAAAATGAAGAGCAGCATATTTACTGTAATTACCTCCGCCTTCTCGTTGTGGTTTCATCACAAACCGTTCGGGATTTTCTAAGGCAAGCTTTACAGCTGCCTCACCTTCAGATGAAGAATCTAATGGATATAAACCTGCAAAGCTTGCTCTAAGCTTCTTTGCATCTGTTGCATTGGTCACATACCTAGATAATATATATAAAAGAAAATTAATTTGAAAGGAATAACATAAATAAAAAGTATTCAGGTTGTATTTACTTTTCTAAAACTCCAGGCATGGCCAAAACCTGTTGAACTTTTTTAGTACCAACAAGCTGGTATGCAACTGTTGGACATTTAATAGATTTCGAACGTTCAATCAATAATCTAGCATCCCATTCCTATTTAATTATTAAATTCAGTTAATTGATTATAAATGTAAATTGGACTGTTATGGGGAAAAATACAAACTTTCTTTGTAGGATGTAGTTCGGGCGCATATCCTGAACGAAAATATGTAACTGAAATTTCTTTATCATCTCTAACAAATGTATATAAGATTTAAAACCTTTTTTCTTTTTAAATAAAAAAAATGAAATGAAAAATTTCGACTTACATTATTAATGCATGAGTTTCGGGATCTAATTTTCCTTGTTGATCTATTTCTGCGAGTGTTTTACGTATAATATGTATTTTATGACTGTAATAAAGAAAAGAGACGATAAATCGTTAAACAACGGTCTAGCATTTAAGGAATTTTGTTTAATTTTTTTATTTACTTGTTTAATAAATTATATTCAATCCATCTTTGATCAAAAGCATTCCTTTCTTCACCAATCACAACCATCATGACCACGGCGCTAAAAAATAAAAAAAAGGTTCTATGAGAGTTTACCATTATTTTTTATTGATATTTTTTTTTAAAAGAAAAAATATTACTTTGGAGATCCATAAAGCTCATGAGCTTTTGCAATACCTTTGGGGAAGCTTGTCATTGCATCATTTAATGGTAACGAATCAATCTTTAATAATTCTGAAGAATTAAAATATTTGGTGGATTCCAATAAATATCTAAGAAATGACAAGACAATTAAGATTTCTAAATTAAAGGGAGAAAGATTTAACAACACAAGTTTATATACCTGTGTAATTCTCCAGTTAGAAATGATAAGCTAGAGAAAGAGGAAGAAATGGTATTAAATTCAACTTGCAAAACGTTAGCTTCTGATGCATCTTGTGGAACATGTAAAAGATAATCGGATCTATGTAATCCTAGAGAAATTGGCTAGATGCATCAAAAAGATTAGTTTTTATTTATTGAGAAAATGAAATTAAATATTAAACAACCTGTTTTACCTGAGCAATTCCTTCTTCTTTTATTTTTAGATAAATTTTATAAAGTTCATCAATAAAATCATCGACTTTAGTTACCCTAAATCAATTATTTGTTTTTAAAACGATTAAATTAATTTTAAATTTGAGCATATGTTTAATTATTTTACACTTACTCCTCAATAACTTGAGTAATAAATTCATGATTTCGAGACAATTTATGGAATAAAAGATTAAATACGGGTTGTAATTCTATAGCTTGGTAAAAAGTTTTTTTTGGAAAAGGTGAGGGAAATAAAGATATAGGTGCATGCATAACCGAAGAGTTATTAGAAAGTGCAAGGTTAGTTGGTGGACGTATTACTAAACCATGAGAAAGTGACCAATCTATTGCTAATTCTTGTAAAGATTGTAAATTGTCATTAGAAAGGTTTGGAGGATATTCGGGAAAGAATGACATTATTGTCGATTTTATTTATTTTTATTTATTATTTCGAGAAATTTAAATTATCGGGGGGAGGGATTATTTATTTACTTTATATGTATTTATTTATAATGACGTCACATGATAACATCCCTAAACTATCAATCATTTTGGTAAAAGTTAATGTAGATCATGACAAATCAAAATGTCTACAGAAATGACTAATCAAGTCTAAAAAATTTTCCCCGTCCTTTAACAATGAATCATCTCGAATATTTTTATTACGGAACCATTCATCCGGAAGAATGGGTTAAGCAAGTGCGATTGGCCTTTTATGATTATAATAAAAATGAACAAGAAATTGTTAATTATTGTAAATTACTCATTCCTTCTTATATCAAAATTCCTCCCGAGACCGAATCCTTTGTTGCGTTAATCAATGCCTTAAAATCAGATATTTCTTATGAAACCTTTAAAAGTTCAGTTAAAAGGAATTTAAAAGCATTAAAAGTTAGTCTTGATAATGAAAAAGATATTTTAACATTCTTGAATCAATTTCAACGGCACTGTTATGAAGGAGAAATCAATGAAATTGGAGAACAAAAGCAATTATTCTTAAATTTATTGCCAAAAAATTCTATTCAACACTCTTTTGTTCGTCGTAATTTTGATAAAATTAATTCAATGAAAGAATTATTCAAGAATTTTGATCAAAGTCTTTTTGAAGGACCTAGAATCATTCAAAATTATTCTTTTATTACTTTAAAACATGTTGCAACCGGAAATTACTTGACTACTAACAATTCGCTGATTTCAGATTTTCGGAATACTATGGTTTGTAATTAAACAAGATTTTCTTAATTATAATTCTTTGTTTAATATTTTTATTATGCATTCAGGTTTTTGCAGCTCCTGTTAATTCTGATTTACGTAATGAATCCGTATGGGAAGTTTCAAAACAAGATCTTCGAGATGGAAACGCACTTTGTTACGGAAACTTATTTCAGTTATTCCAGAAAGATAGAAGTAATTTGGGAGATTGCTTGCAAATATCTGATTCAGCTAAATCTCCCGCAACTAACCATTCACAAGGTGATATTTTAACTTTTTAATATTTACCTTTTGAATTTACTCATAATAATGGGGGGTTTTTTTTATAATTACAGTATTCGTTGCAAGAAAAAAATCATTTTTTCATTGCAAAAGCGTCAATTCTAAAAATTCACCTTACGTATATGATAAAGATGTAATTTTTTTACAATGTAATGATGATTTAACATTACGTAGTCATGAGTTCACTTTTAATATTCGCGATAAGAAACTTCAAGAAGTAGTTGGTCATAAAGAGAGACTTGGTGGAAATGATGAGGTATTTAAAATTATTTTTTATTTTTTTATCATTTTAATTTAGTTATCAATAATGAAAAATTCTTTATTTAGTGGTGTATTGAGTTTGCTTAACTTCTACTGGAATGTTGGAATAAATAATGTTTATAGATTGAAACGCAATAAACTATCTTTCACGTCTATTTTATTATAAATAATAAATTTGGTCGGTCAAATTCTTTTTGAAAACTATCATTGATAATAATATACAGTAAGTTTAAAGATACAATATAAACAATTGGATCCATCAATTTCCGAATCATATTTAAAATCTAATTGAATGTTTATATAAACTTGTTCACTATTGTACAAATTTCATAAATTTCATGAAATATTATATTTTAAAGTAAATTTATTGTTTAAATATTCATATAATTAAAAGTATATTTAAAATCTTTTAATATTTCAAAATCTTTTTTTTTATTAAAATATTAAATGATAAATGAAAAGTAAAATTATTTTATTAAATTATATTATTATTATAATTACCTTATTAAAATTAAATTCTAGCTAAATATTATTATTAATAAAGTATTAAAATAAATTAAAATAATATTTTAGAATAATATTTATAAAAGAAGTTATCCTATTAAAATTTATATAATTTTATTATAAAGTTAATATTATATATAAATATCTATTATAAAAGTTATATTAGTAATAAATAAATATAATAAATAACAAAAAAAAATAGATATTTAAACATATTTATAAAAACAAATATAAATATTTAAAAGTAAAGTAAAAAATATGTATAAATATTTAAATTATATTAAAAAATTTTTTATTAAAATTATTAAAAATATTATTAATTTATTAATTACTTAGTTTTTTAAAATAAAATTTCTAAAAAAAAAAATAAGGTTAATTAATTATTAATTAAATAAAAAATATATTTATAATATTTATAAATAAATTATAATTATAATATTTTATTTTATTTAAATTATATCTTAATAATTAATTTTTATTACTTTTATTTTATTTATTTTGACATTATAATATATAATTAAATAATTTATTTTTAAAAACTTTTAATTTATAAATTTTAATAATTTTATTTTTATTATTTAAATAATTTTTAAAATTTTTAAAATATATTAATAATTTCATTTAAAAAATATATATATTTTTAATAAATTATTAATAATTAATATAATAAAAATTAAATAAATTTAATTAATTTATTTTTTAAAAAAAAACTTTAAAATTATATTTTTATAATAAATAATATTATTTATTTAATAAGATTATAATAATTAAATTTTAAAAAATTTTAATTATAAAGATTCTTGAAGAAATTTTTCTACTAATTTGAATTCAAGTTCAAATTCAACTTTGATAATAATATTACCTATACTAGGATAACTTATGGCTTTTATCTTTGAAACACCTAATATAGGATTTTTAATAACTTCTGATCTATCATTTAACAAATAAATCATGAAGTTTTATTACATAATATTTTAATCATATTAAAATTAAAATTATAATGAAAAAATTATATTTTTATTAAAATTTAATTTTTTAATAATCTTTTTATATATAGAAATATTTATTTTTTAAAAATTTTATTTAAAATTAAATTTTTTATTACAGTATATCTAATAATATTAAAAATCATAAATTTTTTTTTAATTTATTAAAAATTATAATATTTGATTTTTTAATAATTTTTTATATATTATATATTAAATATTATAAATATTATTTCTTTAATGGTATTGCAAATAAAGTTACTTGCAATTTTATTTAATAAATAAAATTATTTTTAATTTTTTTAAATATTTTAAAATATTTCTTAAAAAATTATACTTTTATAATAAATTTTATGATACCTTTTAAGTAAAAGTAAAAAAATTTAATTAATTAGTAAATTTTAAAGATATATATAAAATAAATTATTATTAAAAAAATTAAATTTTAAACTTATATATTTATTACTTATCAATCTTAGAAATATAAAACTACTATTATTTAATAAATCTTAATGTAATAAATTCAATAAACTAAATTTTTATATTTTTATGATTATTAATAATAAATTATTTTTAAAAATCAAAAAATCATAAAATTAATATATATTAATAATTATTAATTTTAAAAATTTAACAATACTATTATTAGATAGGATAAATTTAGTAAATTTTATTTTATCTTTCTAGATATTAAGATATTATAAATTTTTAAAATATTTTAGAAATAATTATATTCTTACTATTTAGAAATAAAAATAAAATTTTAATTTAATAAATTAATATTTAAATTTTAATTACTAAAATATATATATAAAATTATAATAATTAATTAATATTAATAAAAAATTAATAATAAAAAAAAGAAAATTTTAAAAAAAAATTTTTTAAAAAAACCACCCCGTGATTTCTCGGAAACCGTTAGCCAAAAACGGCTGTTTTTTTACATCATTTCCCCCACCCTTTTTTTGTGGGGGGGGATGAAGGTTTT